ATACCGCACATATTGGCATACATAAACAGCAATATTGAAAGGCACATATTGTATCAGCTCTAGTATATTATGTGTCCTGTTGGTGTCTGGGTGCTGCTGGTTATGATAATAAATGGCCTGACAGCAGACTAAAGAGCACATGAGATGTAGTATGAAACAGACCTGTCTTTATCTATGTGGTGCAGCAGTATAGTATGATAAAACACAGTGCATTAGCCTTGTGGGAGCTGCTGTGTGGGAGCTGCCGGCCCATCTCCACAGCAACAATAAACATCACCCATGTTAACCCATAGGAAATGAAAACCGCCCTCTTGAAACTCCAAAAGCCAACATGACAAATTCCTTCCACCACCCCTCCCCCGTCACAGCCACCAGAGAGAGACAGACACACAGACACAGACACACAGACACACACAGACACAGACACACACACAGTGTATTACCGCTGAGAATGAGACACTACCTCTTCAACCATCATCTACAGTACAATACTTTTTACCAATCAGTCTGTTTATCCCCAGGAGTGGAATTAAACCCTGAACAATACTAGCCCATCCTGTCTAATCTAAGCAATACTAATCTCTAATCAATAATTAAAAACAATAAATAACATAAATTGTAAATGCTGTGCTACATAGTGTAATAGTGACATATTTCTCCCTGTATGATGCACAGGCATATTCATGCCAAATTAACAGACAACTATGACACTTGACCCCAAAAGCCAGAGTTTAAGTTGATATTATTATTGTACTTACTCTGATTTCTGGTGGGGGTGCAACAATGTTTTCTTCAGATGTGAGTCAAGTGGTAGAAGATTAATCAATCAAATCAAATCAGTCAGTCCCAAATAAATAAATAAATCATAGTAATGTACTCCAGTCACTCCACTGTCAAGGTCCAAATATGATCGAGCTGCCACTTTCCTAAGATTACAAACACCAATTCTAATTTTACAGTCAAATTACTAAAATGGTACTGATCAATAGTTATATCTGCTTAAACACGAAGCAATGCTCAAAATACTACTGAGTAACTTCATTAAGTCTATTATATTCATTTGAAACAGGCATAAAGACAATATGTTTTGATGTTGCCTGATTAATAGGTTGTTTTCATTGGAAATAGATTTCCTTTAAAAAACTGTTAATGAAATCAGTGTGAAATCAAGTGGGGATCCTACTTTAGCAAAGATACCACCATCAACTTCAAATGCAGTGAAGCTTTAGCTGTGTATGAGATATAACTGTGACCTTTGTGAGAAAGTCTTGTCAGAGAGGAGTCATGGATTGCATGGTATGCAGCAAGTCAAGCACCAAGATTCCTCAGGCCTTCAAAGTCAGGTCCATCCCAACGCATTTTTCAGATATGCCTCAATCCATGACCCCTTAAAAGGGGCTTTTCAAAATAACATGAGAACAGTGAAAGTCACACAGTGGCTTAGAGGTTTTTGTTGGATGAAGTATATTCATATTGACCCTGAGAAACAGCAGACTGTTGTGCCCATGATACTGCCTCTTCTTTCATGTGAAGAGACCAACAGCTAAAAGTCATGAAAAGGCTTCAAAAGGCTTCAAAATACCCCAAAACAATAACAGTGCACTAACAGATTCACACAAAACTTGGTGAGGATATTAACTGGGAGGTTATCTCCATATGATCAACTTTAGGAGCTGATCGGTCAAAGGTCAAGGACAACAGAAATATGGCCCCAAAACACATTTGAGACAATGTAAAGCGTATATTGATCAGAAAATCATTCCTCATTATAACTTATGATTAATAACATCATGAAGAGGTGTACAAAATGATGAAAGAATAATGATCATATGGTAGAATGACATCATAATGACATCACCATGAAGTCAAAAAATGACTTCATACAGTGCTATAACTTGTTCAACCAAAAACATTAAAGACACAACAAACAGGATGTTCAATTGAATTCATTTGTACTGTATTTGTGAAGTGATAAATCACAACATACATTATCTCATGGCACTTTACATAGTAAGGTGGAGACATTACAATATTCTAGAGAAACCCAAACGTTCCCACAATGAGTAAGCACTTGGCAACTATGGAGAGAAATACTCCCCTCTAGTCGACAGATTAACCAATCATCATCATCATCATGTGGTAGAAATGACATCAT